TTTTCAGGGTGGATTATTTTTATATAATTTCAAACTTACAGGAAATTCGCAAGAATAGCACAAACAGCTCCCATATAATCTTCAGCAAGAGTCACCACTTGTTTGCCATTTGAGAATAGGCTTGAGACAGGTTCCACTTTACCTCTGAATAGTTCAGTGTATTTCCTAAGAACAAGAACACAAAGCTATGGTAAAGCTTTCAACCTCAGGAAAATTGATGCAGTCTAATTATATAATGCATAGTCCATATTCAATATCATCCATGGTCCTAATAATGTTATTTATCGCTTCTTCCCCAGCCAGTGTTCGGTACTGTGCATAGGGGACTGACAGCTCTCCAGGCCATCTGTCCCATAGCATCAAATACAGATTTTTTTTACTGATGTCACCTCAAATTAAAACTGCCTAAAATGTGACTCATTTCCCCCTTAAAACAAGTCCTCCCCTCCATCTCTATGTCTTTCTTATACTTCACAGTGGTCTGAGAACTCTCCCAGCCATCCAGGTTTGAAGCTGTGGATCATCTTTGGTTCTTCATCCCCAGTTAGCCAGGGGCGTCATCTAAGTTCTTCCTGTGAAATGTCTCTTCTGGTCTGGCTCTGCATAAGCCATTGAGTGCTGATGCCTACCCATTCCACACCTCAGACAAATTTTCACAGTTACCTTCATCTGCCTGAAGGGCTCAGAAAGAGCTCACAGTGATCATCCCATCTTAAGTGAACTTTGTCAGAACTCAGGGTCTGTGTAGCCCCAGAATAATGGACAGCCAACATGTGGTGAGTCATAAATCTGTTTTTCTACACAATTTCTAAACACTTCTTCCCACTTACACCAAATAAATGTTGAACAAACATTTAAATATTATGTTAGGGTGTGGAAAATACAATTGTCTGCAACTCATTTATACAGAGGAAATGTGTCTAATTGATAAATGGTCTTCATTCCAAGCCCACCGCCAGTGGGAAAACACTAACTCTTTAGGCCATTTAAAACTTACTCTGATTCCATGATTTTGATAGTTCCTACAGGGAGTGTTTGGTTTCCCTTAAAAAAACTCTCACTTTCTCAGAGATCTGCTATCCCCTCTTTGCATTAAAGGACTAACATAGCAGAACTGAGATCAGCACCCATTAAATAGCCTGCTTGCAAGGTTGGCATCTGGAAACTTGACTATTGGGATAAGAATTCCCTAATAAGAGTAGCTCACTGTGCCTAAACTATGCAAACAATATAGTTTATGCTGAATACCTGCTTTCCTTCTGGGAGTCTGAAATTTTTGTATGTGCAATGCAGAGAGTACCTGTATGACCAGCCCCCAAGAAGAGCCTTGGCTACTGAGTCTATGTATAACAAGCCTCCTCAGTAGACTGCACTTCACAGTTCTTTGCTGGAGAAATTAGCTCATCGTGTGTGACTCATTGGAAGAGAATTCTTGGAAGTTTGCACCTGGTTTTCTCTGGACCTCAGCCCATGTGCCTTATCCCTTTGTTGATTTTGCTTTGTATCTATTTGCTATAATAAATCATAGCCACATGTTGAGTCCTCCTAATAAACCATTGTACCAAGGGGTAGTCTTGGGAACCCCAACACACCCTACTTTTCTCTCTGTGGCAGATTGTTATTTTCCACAAATGGATGCAACACATGCTGCCTTCCACATGCTGTTACAAAGTGATATTGGTACACTTCCCACTGAGAGGCAGAGTCCATATTGCATCCCCTAGGATCTGGGTGAACTCTGACAGTTGGACGTGATGTTAAGTGACTTCTGAGGCAAGGGGACAGAAAGCAATGCAGCTTCCTCCTGGTCCTCTTTGTGCCATCTTCGTTCTGAGAACTCAGTCACCATGCTTGAGGGAGGCCAAGCGGGCACACAGAGAGGTCCGTATAGTTGTCGCATCAACAGCCCCAGCTAAGGTCCCAGCAGATACCCAGCATCACACCCTCATGTTGCCCACACTGGGAAGGGCAGACTGCTTTAGTGAGTCCACTAATTCAAATACTAATTTCATCTGGAAAATGCCTAATAATTTTGAAATGATTACCTCCCTGTATACACATTAAGTGGCATACCAAATTACTTGCTTGTCTAAGACTGCCACCATCTGAATTTGGAAATGAATTAGATCTGAACTGCAGTCATTATTAAGGTCCTTTAAGATGGCTCTTGGTGCAGCTGCATTTTTCTATTCTATTTTGTGCCTTTTATATGAAACTTTGAAAAAACACACTTGCTCTGCTTCCTTATACTAATTGTACTCTCCAGGTTCCTAATAGTTTGTTCTTGTTTTTGAAAACCTGCTTTGTTCTCCTATTCAATATTTATATCCTTCTAATTCCTGATTATATGCTTAGTCACAAATTTACTATTTGCCTTTACTCCTACTATATGTATTTTCTCTGCTCCCTTGGTTTTGACCCATTTCCTTGCTCTGATTCTCAGTACCTCACTGTTCCAATATTTCAGATTATTCTGGTACATATTAGTTAGGATGCTTTTAGTAGGTTATACAAAACCCAACTCAAGCTGAATCAGACAATAAAAGTAATTTATTGACTCACATATTTTGAAAAGTCGGGCTTCAGGAAAAGATGGATACACAATGTCATTGTGCTTCTTTCTGACTCTTAAATCTGCCTAGATTTCATGCTAGACTTGTTGTAGGAGGGCTGCCAGTAGCAACCTGGGCTAGATGATTCCTCATTTTGTCCAATACCAATAACAGAGTTTCTTTCCCCAAACCACGAAACAAATATTTGGGGCTTTAGTCTGGCCAAACTCAAGTCACATGTTCAATGTTGAATCAATCACTGTGCTTGAGAGTGGAGTGAGATCATCCTGATTGTCTTAGTCCAGTTAGACTCTGCTGCTAGAGCTGGCAGGAGAGTCAATCTACCTAAATTTCCTGGCTGCTACACAATGGGAAAAGGAGATGTGGGTTTGGTGTGAGCTGGAGTGACCTCTTAAAGTTTGCATGAGCTGATTATACTCATGTCTTTCCAACTCAGTGTTCACTGACCTCACCTTGGTTGCTTGAAGTCAGTGATAGTGGGAGTATTTATACCACAGAAATTAGCAAATATTACAAATAAGTTGTCTGGGGTTTTTTGGTGAGGAACTGGTTTACCAATGCACCTCTATAGTGGGAGGCAATGTTTTATATGTGTTAATAGGCAGCAGTTTCTTAACTAGTTTTCCTAACTTCAGAATTGATTACCCCCATTTATCCACATGTAAAAATAGCAACTTTAATGAGATATAATTCACATGCCATAAAATTTGCCCCTTTAAAGTGTATAGTTCAGTGAGTTTTAGTATATCCATGATGGTTATACAATCATCACCACAATCAATTTTAGAACGTTTTCATCACCCCATAAAGAAATCCTATACCCATTATATTAGTCAGGTTTCTCTATAGAAACAGAATCAATAGGATATTGAGAGAAAGAGACAGGGAGAGCGAGGTTATAAGGAATCGGCTCGCTTATCATGGAGGCTGAGAAGCTCCATAGTCTGCTGCCTGCAAGCTGGGAAACCAGGAGAGTCAGGGGTGTGATCCAGTACACATCTGAGGGTCTGAGAACCAGGAGCACCAAAAGCAGGGCAAGACTGATGTCTCAGCTCAAGCAGCCAGGCAGGGAGGGGCTGAATTCTCCCTCTCTTCAGTTTGACTGTAGCTGGAGTAGGAATGAGCAGATACTGTTTCCCTCTGGGAGGGCAGTTTGGGCCACTGATGCTCAAATTTCATTCAGAGGGCCTCCACCTGACCAAAAACAAACAAAACATACTTCCCAAAATAAGTCCCAATTACAAAAAGCAAAAGCCCAAACTCTGTAGAAAGTGACATTGCTATTATATGGCTTTAGGATTTTGCTGCTTATATTTCTTTTCATCTCTTAATTATTAAGAGTTTCATGAAGGTCTTGGAAGGATAATGGATCTTACAGTCATAGTTTGTTTGAATCCTGGCTATATATATAAATTCAAGGATATAGTAAGTGACTCAATATTGGCATTCTTTAAATTATCTCCTTTGAGATTTTAAGCAAATCATCTTTTCTTATATGTAAAATGAGAGTAATAATTCCTATGTCAGAACCTTGTTATGGATTAAAAGATATGAACACTCAACTACCATGCTCAGCCCATCATAAGCACTCAGTAAATAAATAGTGATTGTTACAGTTGAATGTATGGTTAAATTATTCAGTTATTTTCAGTAAAGCCAATCTAAGATGGGAACTATTTTGGTGCTCTTTCATTGTTTTATAGTTTTGGTTATTTAATTTCAATATTGTCCTAGTGCTTTAAAATTAGTAACAATTTAAAACAGACATTAGGTAATCAGTTCAAAGGCTTTATGTTCCTTGTCTACCATTGACCTTGATGTAATCTGAAAAAATCAGTATTTCCTTTGGGAAACAATCAGTGATAGTGTCTTGTTTTATTACAATAGAAGTTTTATGAAGTGCTCTAAGAATAGATACCTTAAACATTTTACTGGGTTATACTGAGGCAAATTTCTTATAGGAGTGAAATCTTTGAGCTTGGCATTTACTGGCAAGTTTGACTTGATAGCAATTATTAAAGATATAACCCAAGCTATTACTCTTTGGGATGATAACATATTAATTTTAAAAAGGTATTGAATGGTAGTTAAATTTTAATTATTTTGGTCTTATGTAGATGATTATAAAATTTAAATTGTTCTTTATGCTGTATATTTATGGTTTAGAAAAATTCTACATGTATAATTATCTTTTTAGTTTTATAAGTAAAACAACCATGAACTAGATTCTTCTTTCAGAATTTAATTACTTATAAATACTATGGCCATTTTTTCATTGAGGCATTTGTCATATGAGAGATTAAGCTAATTGTTTAAAATTAGACTTGGATCAAAATAAGACTAACACATTGCAGATCAACTTTTGGAAATCACCCGTTTTTACATATCTCAGTTATTCAGTATTATTTCTCTTTCTCCCTCCCATAGGATTATCCTTGTCAAGATGATTATTCAGTAGTCCACAGAAAATGCCGTTCTCAGTTCACAGATCTAGATGGTTCCAAAAGATTTGGCATCAACACTTGGCATGATGAAAGTGGGATTTATGCTAATTCATTGTAAAACAAAAACTCTATCCATTAACTGGTGGTCCTACTGTCCCCTTTTAAAAGTAATGTATGGAATTGGATTGTCAAACTAATGAAAGACTAAAGATGAAACAGTTGATGATTTTCTAGTCTAATAAATGCCAAGGAAATGTTGCTATACAAAATACCTTTAAAAACAATATATTCTAGACCAGTGTGTAAATATCTTTCTTTTCATAAGCTACTCTGGCATTTTCCAGTTTAGTATGTGTACCACTGAGGGTAAACAACACAATTCTAGATATACTTGGTGGAATTTTATTTTATTTTTATTTATGGGTTGTGCATTTATTTTAATTTTTATTAGAAAAAATTCATGAAGCTGGTATATTCAAACTTATGATTTGTTAGGGTATGGCTAATGTTTTATTAAGTGAATAAAAACATAGGTGGTTACTCAGATTTGACATGAAACTTAAATGGCTGAAGTTTGGGCAACAATGGCCCTATTATAATGATGTGTGTGTGTGTGTGTGTGTGTGGTGTTGGGGAAGTGTGTCTATTTATAGACTTTACGGTGACTAACTACACTGTGTATTGCCTAATCAGCCTGGTGTTTTTCCTTACTCAAGATTAACACTTTTTGAGTGTATGGGATAGCAGAGGCACAGACAGAATCTTGGTGAAACTCTAGGGATTTGATGGGAAAATTCAATCATTTAGTGTTAGATCTGGAAGAAATCTCAGCAGGTGCTTTTGACTCACCCTCCCATTTCACAGATGAGCAAACAAAGACCCATGGGGGTTTAAGTAAGTTGTCCAGGGTTACATAAACAGCAGATTCTAGTTGCTCTTTGAGGTGCATTTGAACTTTTGTTTCTTCTGAGAATGGGTTTAATTATTTAGTCAGCCTAGGCTATTTACTTTCTAATTTACTCTCATTAGTTTTCTTTAAAAAATAAATTCATGAAATAACATTTCATGATAAACACTAATTTAACACTGTCTCCAACTCTTGATTAGCAAAATATAGAAATGACTATAAGCCTTATGAGTGGAGAAATGAAAATTAATGAAGAAAATGTGTATATGCCAGGTAAACATTGACCAATGGAGTTTTACTATAATTTCTTGCTGCTTTAAAGTATGTGTCTATATATACACAAAAAATATATTATATAGTCACAAAATGTATATTATATAGATTACACACACATACATGTGTAATGTTCATTCTTTATATATTACCTGTCCTAGAGGATACTTACCTACTTTCCTTCCTCACCTACAGATTCAATTTTAATCACTCCTAACACTCATTGACATATCTAGAGTGGACAGCTGTTTGAGATATGTAAATATGGATGTCAAGCTACTCATCTGATTTTTTCTTTTTATGAGGAAGAAGTCTTAGTGGCCATGGTATCTGGAAGATAAAATAGAATTCACTTACTTTAGCAGGAATTCTATATTGTCACAATGGCTAACATGGCATTTGGCATAAATGACCTGGGTTTTCTATGAGGGATCAACTTAGAAACCCACTTTGGTTTGGTTAGAAGGAGAATTAAACAAGAGAGACTGCATTTAAGCTAGTCAAGTAAAATGGTACATTGAAATAAAGATTACAGTGGAGGTTTGCCCAATCTAAGTACTCAGCTGCCATCCATGAATGAATGAATGAATGAATATTGGACTGAATGAACTTCACATTACTCTGAAACCTAGATCTTTCAGGTGTTAAATATTTGTATTGACTTGTATTTCTTTAGATAACTACCTCAGTGGTTCATCTTACCAATATAAAGACATTCAAACAAGAAAAATTGGAACTCAGATTTGATCATTGGAGAATGTCCTCTTTAGAAAGTGACCACACTGTCCCCTCATGGGACTGGATTTCACCTGTGTGTTGATAGTGTTCATAGTGTTCACAATGTTTAAAAATAACATTATTTCTTATGTGTATAAAAAATTATTTCTTAAGGCTGTGCTGACTAACAGCTAACTTTATTTCAGATTCCATGTATCTATATCTATATCTTCAAATTTGTTCAGTTATTTCATTTTGGCCCTTGTGCACTGTTATGTCAGGACTGTTGGTGGGAGACTGCTATGGCACAATGAAGATTGCTGCTGGGAGAATGGGAAATTGGTTGGGCAGATCCTAAGTAATTTACCACAATGGTAGTCCTTGATTAAATTTGGCCTACAGGTAAGTTTTATTTAGTCTACACATTGTTTGGTGTTTAATTAAAAGAAATAAAGCCAAATTTTATAAGTTAGCACATTTACTTTAAAATGGGTATTTCTATGTTCTTGACAAATTGGCAGAAGCAGGTGTCTTTTTGATACAACACAATCAGCAGGGATTTCGTGGGAGGCCCTCTTTAGATGGGAGCTATGAACATTATTTTGCTGTAATTCTCACGTGGTATATTTCACTCATTGATGGAAGCATCTACCTTTTACCTAAGGAAACTTAGGACAAATATGAAATAAAAAGTCACATGGTGAGGAAAAGGGGTGGTACAAATGTGGCAAAACTGACAACTGGCTGGTGACTTAAAGTAGGATGATAAAGGCAGAGGTTGCATCCTAACAGTAGGTACATAGCAAATCTGGTTGAGTTCAAGTAGGAATCTAGATCTTAGGGGATATGATATAGAAAATAGGGATGAGGAGTGAGCCAAGATCTTCACTTTAGAAACAGACAGAAACCTCAGACTCCCTGGTGTATACTAGAAATCCATCAGTGGATAGGCAGAAAGTGAGGGCACCAGACCTGACCCCTGGGATACGGAGCTGGCCGATGAAGACAAGAAGCAGGGCCCTGCCAGCTCATCGGTTTGTTCACAAACAAAAGTCACTCCCTGGATACCAGTGTTCCAGAGGTACAGAAAAACTCCACATTTAGTAAGACCCTAGGCAGAACTGATAAAACCCTTCCTCTGGGACACAGAGTATAAATAGTAGGCTGGGAGAGGCTGTGGAAGTGTCTGGCAATGCCACCACCAAGAACAGAGTAGCAGAAAAATTATTTCTTAAGGCTGTGCTGACCAACAGCTAAATTTATTTCAGAAATGGTAGCAGGGCAGTTTACCCACAGCTGGAAGCCCACTTCAATTAGCTGAAGAGGGGCAAGCGTGAGGCAACCATTACATATCAAAGTGGAAAACACAAGCAAAATCTCACACAGTAAATAAGTGTTTCAAATATCAAGATCATAGACTTCATGAAAAAAAAATTTTAACAGCTTTATTGAGATAAGGTTCACATACTAACAACTTCACCCTTTTAAAGTGTTTAACTCAATGATTTTTAGTATTTTCATGGAATTGTGCTGCCATCACCACAATTCATTTTAGATCATTTTCAGCTTCCCCAAAAGAAACCCCACGTTCATTAGCTGTCAATGAGTCCCCATTCCTTCCCAGTCCTTCAGTCCTAAGCAGCCATTAATCTACTTTCTGTCTCGATAGATTTGCCTATTCTGGATATTTTATATAGTTGTAGTCATACACTACAAGGCCTTTTGTGACTAATTTCTCTCCCTTAGCATAATGTTTTCAAGGTTCACCCATGTTGAATGAAATGTCAGTACTTCATTAATTATTTTGGCTGAATAATATTCCATTGTTCGGCTATTTATCATGATTTATCCATCAACTGATGGACATCAAGTTATTTCTACCTCTTGGATGTTATGAATATAATGCTGCTATGAGTTTTTGTGCAGATGTTTGTTTTCATTTCTCTTGGACATATACCTAGGAGTGGAACTGCTGGGTCAAATGGTAACTCTATGTTTAACTTTTTGAGAAATTGTCAAACTGTTTTCTAAAGTAGCTTTACCATTTTACATTCCCATCAGCAACACACGAGGGTTTAAATTTTTCTATATCCTTGCCAACATCTGTTATTTTCCATTGTTTTGATTATAGCCATCCTAGTGGGTATAAAGTAGCGTCTCACCACTGTGGTTTTGATTTTATATTTCCCTAATGGCCAATCCTGTCTTTGCAGATGTTTATTAGCCATTTGTATATCTACTTTGGAGAAATCATTTTCAGATCAGTTTTCTATTCTTAAAATTGTGTTATTTATCTTTTAAGATCATAACCTTTTGTAACAATTTTCAAAAAAAACTGGGATACATAATCTGAAAAAAAAAGATTTTTGAGTTTGAGAAGCAGACTGGAAGATTTCATTTAGAATCAAATATTGGAATTTCAGTTATAAAGTGACGGAATATTTTTAAATTAAGAGATTCCTGGAAGATCTTGGAGGCAAGCACTGTCATGTGAAAATTTATAATGCACATGTGTGTGTTTAATCAATATTTTTAACACTGAAAATGATAATACTGATGCTCTAGTAAGTCAATACACTATACTGAGATTTTTCATAAAATGGTGGGGAAATGTATTTTCTAATTTTCCATCACATTATTCTTCTTTTCATTTGTCAGGATAGTAACTTAGTCTTCTCTTCCAGGAATCAAATTCACTCATTTTCCAACACCTTTCCTCACACTAAAGTTTCCCCTTTAACAGTGGATCTTAAACTGTTGTGTTCAATCTAATGAAATCTAGACCTGTTGCCCTAAAATGTTATAAATACTCATTTTAAGAGAACATTGGGAAATACTCTGACATCACTAAGTAAGGGAGTTTTCTGTTCCTTTAGAAGAAGATGAAATAAAGTGTGAATATTTAAATTAAGGTCTATGTGCCCATTTCCTGAAGCCTATGGCCTGTGTGTGTGTGTGTGTGTGTGTGTGTGTGTGTGTGTGTGTGTGTGTGTATGTGTGTGTGTATGTATGGCAACCAGAAGAGAAAATATGTCATTTTTATCAACTAACTTTTGCTAATCACTTGTAAACATATTGACTTACCTGGTTGGCACTTGGCTCAAAGTCAGCTGGGATGTCAGGGGTCCCCCCCGTCTGAGAGTCATTCATCATGCGGCAGGACTTGTTCATATGGTGGTGGTGGCAGTGTCCCTAAGAGCAGCAAGTAGAGAAGCTTCTGTGCACAAAGGCTTGTCAAATGTCTGCCTGTGTCACATTTATTAGAGACTGACTGGTGGGAGTCCTGGGGCCAGCTGGTGTGGGAGTCAGTGTGGGAGGGCTCCATCAAAAGTGGATAGAAGGAAGGGATAATCTGTGTCCATTCTTGCAGTCTACCACAGTATGGTTGCACACTTCTTCCGAGAAGTCTTTGTACAGAAATTATGCATCTTCTTGTTCGATATTTCTATTAGAGAATAGAGAGGGACCTTCCTTATTTATCTTAAATTGGTAATATACTTTGGGGCTTTTCTGTTACTTCACGACCTTGCTCCTATCATTGGTGGTCCTCATGGA